AATACAAATTACCCAATTTAAAAAATGGGCAAATCAGCCCTGATGGCCTAGTGGTTAAAGTTTGGCACACTCCACTTTGGTAGCCTGGGTTTGCTTCCTGGTCGTGGAACCACACCACCCACCTGTCAGTTGTCATGCTACGGCAGCAGCTCACATCAAAGAACTAGAACGACTTACAAGTAGGATATACAACCATGTACTGGGGATTTGGGGGGGAAAAATAAAGAGGAAGATTGGCAACAGACATTAGCTCATGGTGAAGCTTTCCCTGCAAAAAAAAAAAGGGGGGGCAAAAGATTTGAATAGATATTTCTCCAAAGGAGAAATACTTTGAAACGACCAATAGGCACATGAAAAGATGCTCAACATCATGAGCCATGAGAGAAATGCAAATCAAACCACAGTAAGATATCACTTCAAACCCATCCACACGGTGGCTATAATCAAAAAGACAGATAATAACAAGTGTTGGCAAGAATGTGGAGAAATTGGGACCCTTATACACTGCTGGTGGGACTGTAAAATGGTATAGCCACGTTAGAAAACAGACTGGCAGTTCTACAAAAGGTTAAATGTAGAGTTACAATATGACCCAACAATTCCACTTCTAGGTATATACCCAAGAGAATTGAAAACATATGTTCATACAATAACTTGCACACAACCCACATATCAATGGAAAGCTAATTTTCGACAAGGGAGCCAAGAACATACAATGGAGAAAGGAAAGTCTCTTCAATAAATAGGGTTGGGAAAACTGTACAGCCACATGCAAAAGAATGAAAGAAGACCATTATCTTACACCATACACAAAAATTAACTCAAAATGGATTAAAAACTTGAATGTAAGACCTGAAACCATGAAACTTCTAGAAGAAAACATAGGCAGTACGCTCTTCAACATCAGTCTTAGCAACATATTTTCAAGTGCCATGTCTGACCAAGCAAGGGAAACAATAGAAAAAATAAACAAATGAGACTACATCAAACTAAAAAGCTTCTGCACAGCAAAGGAAACCATCAACAAAATGAAAAGACAACCTAACAATTGGGAGAAGATATTTGCAAATCATACATCTTATAAGGAGTTAATATCCAAAATATATAAAGAACTCCCACATCTCAACAACAAAAAAACTAACAACCCAATTAAAAAATTGGCGAAAGATCTGAACAGACATTTCTCCAAAGAAGATATACAGATGGCCAACAGGCACATGAAACGATGTTCAACATCATTAACTATCAGGGAAATGCAAATCAAAACTACAATGAGACATCACCTCACGCCTGTCAGAATGGCTATAATTAACAAGACAGGAAACAACAAGTGTTGGAGAGGATGTGGAGAGAAGGAAACTCTCATACACTGCTGGTGGGAGTGCAAACTGGTACAGCCACTAGGGAAAACAGTATGGAGATTCCTCAAAAAATTAAGAATAGGGGCTGGCCCAGTGGTGCAAGAAGTTGAGTGCGCGCGCTCCGCTGCAGCGGCCCAGGGTTTGCCTGTTTGGATCCCGGGTGCACACCGACGTACTGCTTGGCAAGCCATGCTGTGGCAGTGTCCCATGTAAAGTGGAGGAAGATGGGCATAGATGTTAGCCCAGGGCCAGTCTTCCTCAGCAAAAAAAAAAAAAAAAAGAGAGAGAGATTGGCAGATGTTAGCACAGGGCTGATCTCTTCACAAAAAAAAAAAAAAAAAATTAAGAATAGAACTACCATACAATCCAGCTATTCCACCGCTGGGTATTTATCCGAAGAACATGAAAACACAAATGTGTAAAGATACATGCACCCCTGTGTTCATTGCAGCATTATTCACAATAGCCAAGACTTGGAAGCAACCTAAGTACCCATCAATGGACGAAAGGATGAAGATGTAGTATATACACACAATGGAATACTCAGCCATAAGAAATGATGAAATCCAGCCATTTGTGACAACATAGATGGACCTTTAGGGTATTATGCTAAGTGAAATAAGTCAGAGGGAGAAAGTCAAATATCATATGATCTCACTCATCAATAGAAGATAAAACAACAACAAACAAACACATAGAGACAGAGATTGGATTGGTGGTTACCAGAGGGGAAAGGGAGAGGGAAGAGGGTGAAAGGGATGATTAGGCGCATGTGTGTGGTGATGGATTGTAATTAGTCTTTGGGTGGTGAACATGATGTGATCTATGCAGAAATCGAAATATAATCACGTACACCTGAAATTTATATAACGTTATAAACCAATGTCACTGCAATAAAAAAAAGACAAAAACAAAACAAAACAAAAACTTGCACACAAATGTTCACAGCAGCATTATTCATAATAGCCAAGAAGTGGCAACAACCTAAATTTCCATCAAAACTGATCTAAAAGTCCATCCTAAATTGATGAATGGTTAAACAAAATGCAGTACATCCATGCAATGGAATATTATTCCATATAAAAAGGAACAAAATACTGATACGTGCTACAACATAGATGAACCTTGAAAACATTACATTAAATGAAAGAATTCAGTCACAAAAAACCCCATATTATATGATTCTATTCTTATGAAATGTCCAAAGAAGGGAAATCTATACAGATAGAAAGTAAATTCATGGTTGCTTAGGGCTAAGGAGGTAATGGTGTGACTGCTAATGTGTATGGGGTATCTCTTTGGGGTGACAAAAATGTTCTGGAATTAAATAGTGGTGACAGTTGCACAACTTTGTGAATACACTAAAAACCTGAATTGTATGCTTTAAAAGGCTGATTTTTTATGGTAAATTAATTATATCTCAATAAAGCTGTTACCCAAAAAAGGAGCAAGCTTTTAGAAAGAATGTGAAAAATCAGCTGAGTGGGTTCACACACACACACACACACACACACACACACATTTATTTCAAAAGACCACAAAAGCAATTTTGCTGTGCTTTTGAAACCAGAACAGCTGACTGTGGCACCTTCTAAATGGGGAAGGAGTGAGGAAGACAGCAGAGGTCCTAAGAAGGAAATCCTAAACCTCCATTAATTTCAATATGACTTTGCTAGGAGGTAATTATTTGCTAAACACTTCATATGCTTAACTCACAGGACTACTCAGTGAGGTAACATTGTTATTTCCATCTTACAGATGAGGCTCAGAGAGGGTAGGTAACTTGCCTGGGGTTACACAGCTTCCTAGTGAGAGAGCTGGGATTCAAACCCAGTCTGCATGTCTCCAAAACCTGTGCTCCATTCTCTACTCCAGGCTGACTGCCAAAGTGAATAAAAAGCAGATGATACTCCCCTGGCCCCCAAACTTCAAAATTGTACTCTGGTGTCAACCTTCATTTACTTCATTTCATTCCATACTCCAGCCCCAATCCTATGTCCAACTTTTCCTACCATCTTCACCCTTTGCTCTGCCTAGAAAGTTCTCCCTGTTCTCCTCAGAACACCCAAAAATCTGTAATCAAAAGATAGCTTAAGGAAGGGTGCACATTGTAACCATGCACTTTGTCAGCTCCTCACCAGATGTAACCTAGTATCTTGCCTTTTTCCTCTGCTAGAAAGTGCCTTCTTCTCTTGACACATCCAAAGCCTTGGGATCTTTCAAGGTTGAGCTCAGTCTCCTCCAACTCTGGGCACCTCCACAGGTGCAGGGCAGGCAGCAGGCTCCTCTCCCTGAATTCCTGGGACACTCACCAGAAAATCAGTTCCATGTTATGCCCTGGCCAGACCAACCACCAGCCACAATATTTGCTTCGCTGTGTGAGTTCTTTCATCTGTCTTTGTCGAGCGCCTCTTCGGCTCTCCGAGTAGTGAAGTAGTAGCTGTTTTACCTGGGCTAACCCCTCAACCTCTCTTAGCCTCAGTTTCCTCATTCGCAAAATGGGAATATGGTAGCTATGCTGGCAGTACTGATGATTCTCTTTTCAATTCCATCTTGGGCATGCTGCCCAGAGCAGTGGTTATCAAAGTGTGGTCTGGAGATCCCAGTCAGTCCCTGAGACCCTTTCCAGGGACCTGTGACCTTCCCTCTTTTTCAACTACATACCCGTGTGAGGCTGGGTTTTCTTTATATACTTGAATCAAAACAACACATCACAACAGATTGAATGCAGAAACAGATGTGAGACTCCAGCTGTCTTCTATTAAGCAGACATTAAAATGTGTACAAAAATGTAAAACAATGCCACTGTTCTAATTTTTTTTTGTTTTGGAAAATATAATTTTTAAAATAAAACTATTATGTTAACATGTAATGACATTATTTTATGCATTAATTAACATTTAAAGAATTCTGTTTTAATTTCTAATACAGTAATCATCAATAGATATAATCTACACAAAAAAGAGCTCTTTGGGATTCTCAATAATTTTTAAGAATGTAAACTTTGAGACTTAAAAGTTTGAGAACCCCTAGAGGAAAGAACAGCGTTGCAGATCTAGATTTTTCAGGGATCTCGTGGTCTTAACCCCATCTTGTGTTTCAGTTTCTTTATCTCTAACTCAGTACTCATTCTTGTGACGCAGGTGACTATATTAATCTCTTTCTTAATGTTTATATGTTGCATTACGTGTGTATATAGGGACTGTCTCTGGAAAGCTAGACAATAAACTGGTACCAGTGGTTTCCCTGGAAATGGGAATTGGGAACCTGGGAAACAGTGGCACCGTAAACCTTTCTGCTCTTGATTTTTTAAAATATATCGTGCATGCATTGCCTATATTTAATATTGAGCAATTAAAAGTAAAATTACACTTTTGTTTAGATGGGTAGGAAACAGAGGTCGGCTCAACTAGTGTTAACTGACAATTAAAAAAAACAAAACACGCAAGTGTCCCGCGCCTAACCTCGCGGGGCTCACGACTACTTCTCTCAACTCCCCTCCCGCTCGCGTCCAGCCCGCGGCCCCGCCCCCGCGCCGTTCGACCCCGCCCCTCGCCGCCTTGCTCCGCCCCGCGTCGACGTCACTTCCGGCCGACCCGCTTCCCCGAACTCCCTCTGGCTCCCGCCTTCGCCCGCTTCCGGTCGTCCTCGTCGCCGCTGCTGCCGCTGCTGCTGCTGCTGAGGCTGCTGGCGGAGGCCGGAGGATCGGGCGGCGGCGGCGGCGGCGGCTGAGAGGGCGGCGGCGGGAGCGGAGCGGGACGAGGGAGCGAGAGGAAGCGAGCGAGGAGCGAGCGGAGCGCGCCAGCCCCGCCCGCCCTTCCGCCCGCCGGAGGAGCCGGAGCAGCCCGGGCCCCCAGCCGCCACCGCCGCCGCCGCCCGCCTGCCCGCCGCCGGACAAAGCCCGAGAGCCCGCGCCCAGAGCCATGTCCTCGTCCGCCGGCAGCGGCCACCAGCCCAGCCAGAGCCGCGCCATCCCCACCCGCACCGTGCCCATCAGCGACGCCGCGCAGCTACCTCATGACTATTGCACCACGCCCGGGGGGACGCTCTTCTCCACCACGCCGGGAGGTGAGCCTCGGCCTCGCGCCGCCCTGGCCCCCGGAGCCTGCAGCCGGCTGGCGCGGTGTCCCCCCGTCTCCCGCCACGGTCCTTTAACTCAGGGCGTGTCCTCGCTGGGCCGCCTCGGCCCCCCAGCTCCACCAAAGCCCCTCCCCCCCGCTCCACCGAAGCCTGCATGGACTGCTTTCGGGAACCTTAACTTCACATTCTCTCTTGCCCCAACTCGATGCAGCGCGCTCGCTCTGGGAACGTGGCTCTCCCGTAGCGAAAAAAAAAAAAGCCCTTGTTCCCGCTTCGTGGCAGGTTTACGCGCTCGACCCAGTTTTCTCCCCGCTCTCCGCCGCCTCCCGGGCAAATTCGTCTGCACTTGGCCTTGCGCTCACTCTGCATTACCTCCGCCTCTTGCAGATTGTGCATTTGTGCACATTAATGCTTAGTTTTGGAGCTGTCTGCCGGGCCTTTTTAGAAAGGAAGTTGGGGAGAGTACTTCGCTCCTGGGACCCTGCGGTGACTTGTTTTGCTGCTTTTAGAACACCAGAAGGAGGCTGGAATGCGGAGTTGGGAAGCCTCGCCCAGCGTTATCCTGCCTTGACAGCATTGTTTACTTTGCTGGACGAGGCCCCACGGGTGGGGGAGTCCCCGGGCTGGAGGAGAGAGTGATCAAGTAATGCTCAAGTAATAGTCAAGGGAAGGGAGGTGTAGGTGGTAGAGCGCTGACAGCCTTAAGGGTACTGTTTTGGCGGAGACATGTTTGGAGATAGATTGTCAAGGAGGGCACCCTCGTTGGTAGGATTGCTTGGTCTTGGGGAAGGGGCAGTGCAGAGCGAGGTTCCTGGCTGCTGCTTTCCGAAGTACAACCAGGAACTGTTTACAAGGAAGAACACTGGGGTGGAGGTGAAGCGCGTTGAATTGGTCCCGGGAAAAGGGAGCTCAAAGGTTGTCTGTCCCCTGACTGGGCAGTTCTCCAGAGGGAGGAGACTGGAGGGACCTTATGGAAGGGAATGGTGCTTCATTTTTAACTTAGGAACTTTGTCTTCTTTTGAACTTTGCTGGCAGCGCCTTCAGTCTACAAGATTGCAGCTTGGTTCCTGTAGGCTGGGCTCACCAGTTGTACCACAGTCAATCTGTTGCAGTTAGGCCTGGGCAATCCTTGAGTCTGTTGCACAATAGCAAGGCCCTTAGAGTAAGAAGACCTTGCCAACCAGCAGGGATAAAAATCTAGGAGGGAGCTGTACTGAGGAATCCAGGCAGGCCGCTCTAGAGGAACGGTGGCTGCCTTGGAAGACTTTAAAATGATCTAGGCAGAAGTTCATCAATATGTTTGGAGAGCTGGGCTTAAGGAAGTTTTAACTCTGCAGAACTGTGGAGTTTCAGAGAGGTGGCTTACATCATTGGTGAAACCTCCCTTCTGACCTCATCTGTTCTAGGCCAGCCCCTGAGCGTGCTGAGATCTTGCTTTTTAATGGTGAATGATTTTGGCAGACCAGAATCTGCTCCAGACAGCGTTGTCTTGAGCTTGAACTGACAGCTTTTAAGAAGTGGGTATTGCTTTCTAAGGTGATGAAAAGGGATTTATAACTTCTTCCAGAATTCTTTGTGGTATTAGTCAGTAAATGCCTATGCCTCCAGCAGTTCAGAACATATGTCATAGTAACAACTGCGCTCAGCTATTATTTATTTGGGGAAGGAACTAAACTTCTAGCCATAGTTTCATCGTTAGTCCCCTAAGGCAGGAGCCACAGAGGGGCACCTTTTTGGCATATTTCAAACAACCAAGCTACCATGCTTTTAAAATAAGGGCCTAGTCTTTAAGCATTATTTTAAAGATAGAAGCCTGTCTCATAGTCTGGATTAGTTCCTAAAATGCTTGGAAAGATTCTGCCAGAAATATTGATTTACCCTTTCTCCCAACACACACAGCCACCACTGCTCTCTGGAGTATCACTTAATCTCTCTCCAGATAGTTTCTACATGCAGTTCTTTGTTTCAGATTTAAATATTTGTCATCTTAGTTCATCTATTATATTGAGCCTGTATTTATTGGTAGAGCACATTGCACTCTTTGGATTTCAGACACAAAGACTTACGTAATGTGTTTATAGGATACAGCACTGTTGCGATTGGATTTAATCACTATTTTATAGCAATTAACTCCGTGCAGTTGAGATTTTCAGTACTTATTGATTTAATTTTCCCTTTTTGGAAAATTTCCACCCTCTCGTGGTTTGTCCATCTTTCTTGTTACATTTCCCTCTCCTCCCGTGTGATTTTACTTCCCTGAACCAGGGTAAGATGGTTTGTTGTTATTTGGTCACCTCCAGGCACTTGAATTAATGTGGTTAGATATCCTAAGTGAGTTTTGTGGGCCCAGTGTAGTGCTTTGCACAAAAGGGGACCACAGACAAAAGTAGGAAATGCAGTCCTTGCTCTGAATGGTTTTAAAATCTTGATGGGGGTTGAGGGTAGATAAAATTTTTAGTTCTAGAACAAAAAACTTATATAGCACTGCAGAGTCAAGTGCTAACATATATTTCAGACTTGACAACATTTAGAAAAATGATAGTCAGTAGGCTTGTATTAGAAATCTATTTAGTGGGAAGGAAGAGGATTAACATTTCCTGTCTCAAGCTTTTGGAAACCTTCTGGAGTGTTATACCCATGTCAGAGCGTTCCAGGATAACAGTTGATATGGTGAATGCCCTAAATGATCAAACTGGGCAGAGACATTCACGACATAGCTTGAGGATTTCTCCCCCCTTGAGAGTCCTTTATTCATTGGGGATCAGAGGATACAGCTTACCCTCGAAAAGGTTTCTCAAAATTGCTTTCCTGTGGTTTGGGAAATGAGAGGTGGGTGAAAAACACTTACTGTAACCTCTTGGATTTTTTGTATTGCTAGAAGAGTACCTTTTCTCATCAAGGAAGAGGAAAATTTTTTGTTGAGTAAATTCAAGGCAAAAAAAAAATGCCCTTGGATTTTATTTTATTTTATCTGCCTGTGGAGGAGTGGGGGTGATATTTAGTTCTTCCTTTGAGAAGCTACTTCTAGCCTCAAACTTACTGCAGTTGACTTCACTTTTATAAAACTCTGGTTAGCTGGACGGAACCTAATGCTTTTATTTTATAATTGAGAGAAACTGAGACCCAGAGAAAATAAGTAACTTGTTAGTATCACACAGCTAATTAATGTTATTGGGTAGCCTCATATTTAGTGTCCTGATCCCTGTTTCAGTTTTTTCCTCTACTATCTTAAGATGCTTATTTTACTAGGAAAGGTTTAAAAGTTTGCAAACATTTAACGAGACTTCTGTACCTCCAGAATACTAGCTATTGCAATTCTTTCTGCAACCTTCTTTCTTTTATAAGTTCTGAACTGTCTCCTGGGAGAATTGTGCTCTGGGGAATGAGCAGAAACATTGAGAGCTCTTAGCCTTTTTGTCTTGCTTTTCCTGCATAACATCCTCATCAACTGTGGAAAAGTATGTTGTTGCCATAACAAGAGCACCAGAGGGGAACTAACTATGATGGTCTGAAATCTTGTTCATGCTGTTGGCTCATCCTCTTTGCCAGCTGGGGAGTTGCTGTGATTGGTTCACTGGAGCAGAATTACCTGAAGGCCATTGGAAGGGTCTGGAAATAAAGAAGAAGGCAGGAAGAAGGGAAAGGAAAAGAATCTGCTTGGAGTGAGCTATAATAAGAGTATCTGGGAGGAGTCCTGAGTTTTAATCTGGTACCTTTCTTGGGAGAAATAGAGAACTCTTTGTGTAGATATGGGGAAGGAAGGCCAGTTTCTGGCTGTAATAAAATTTCTAGTTCGGTGACCTTGGCTTAGTTTATTCTAGGCCAGAAACTTCTACTGAACCAACCAGTGCACTTATTTGGCTCTCTAGCGTCAGTCATTAACCAAAGGACTTCCTTATTACATGTGAGAAGTGCGTGAAAAACACAATGAAAGTTGTTCAATCACTTTGCCTTGTGTTCGAGGAAGGTGGCATTTACTTATCTTAGAGTAATACATATTAACATGTTTTGTCATTCGGTAGAAGATTCAGCTTTAGTTTCCTATTCATCAGCTACCAAAGTAAATAATAAAAGATGTGCTTTAGTTTTTATGTTGGGTGTATTTTTTTGTGTGTGTGTGAGGAAGATCAGCCCTGAGCTAACATCGGCCAGTCGTCCTCTTTTTGCTGAGGAAGATTGGCCCTGGGCTAACATCTGTGCCCATCTTCCTCTACTTTATATGGGACGCCACCACAGCATGGCTTGACAAGTGGTGTGTCGGTGCACGCCCGGGATCCGAACCAGCGATCAGCGGTGCAGTTAACCACTTGCGCCACTGGGCCGGCCCCTATGTTGGGTGTATTTTTGCTGATGAGGAACTGAGTTCTGAGCCTGGGGAAGGCAGCAGTGCTCATCCTTGAGGTAGATAGCAGTGCATTATGGGGAAAGGAGCACCTCTGCCTGCCCTAAGGCAGGTGAGTCTGACCGAGGAAGACAGCTATTACAAGTTGATTGTGCAGCATGGACCGCAGTCCTATGCACAACTCCCTTCAGCTCTGCTGAGGCCCCTGTGAAATAGGATGAAAAGTGCCGAGTCTGTAAGCTGGCACTACCAGGGTTGTTCAGCAAAGACTTTTTGAGAACTGGAGTCTTAAAGACGATTTTATAGGAGGGGTCTTGCATGGTTTGGAGACACTGTAGGCTTGATTTCTTGAGTATGTGTAAAGATTTGCAGATCAGATAGGGTGATGGTAGTGTGGGGAAAGCTAGTTCATCTGGTCGGAGAAGAGAGCCTGAGCAGGAGAATAGTTTGTTGGTGAATGGCAGAGCTTTCTCGTAGCTCCCAACTCTTTATGTGAACAGATTACTGTTGAAAAGATGTTTGCTGCTCCATTTGTTATAGAACAAAGGTCAGCTGTGACTTGCAGTCACTCAACTTACTGAATAGCTATGGTCTAGGTACCATTTTCAAATTTGTTCATCTTGGAATTTTGTTCCATGAAGGCCCC